TACCAATGTCAAATTTTTATAAATAGTTCTAAACTAAAGCTGTTTAACAAGGTTTTTATTTGGCAAAATTAGGTATCGTGGTTGACTGTTTAATTCCTTAAAAACTAATAATTTAAAGCGTAACTGACGGGACTTTGTAATAGTCCCGTTCGTTACGCTTTAAATTATTAATTTTTAAGGAATTAAACAGTCAATCAGGATACCTAATTTTGCCAAATAAAAACCTTGTTAAACAGCTTTTGTTTAGAACTATTTATAAAAATTTGACATTGGTAATATAATAAAACAATATTATTTTGTAAATAAAAACACGGTAACTGTCCTATCCGTTAAGCGTGGAATGGCCCATATGTAAATTTTCCCAAAAATACTAAAGATTGTTATGTGGCATTCAGTGTTGATAATCCAATGGTAAAGACTCAATGGCCAAATTATTGGATTCCAATGGATGTGGCTCCTGGTGCATACAAGATACAAGTTAATACCTCAGCAAATAGCTCTGTATTGCATTAAAAATTAAAATATGTTATATCACCAGATAGTGGAAGGACTAGAACCTTTATTAAAATAAATAAATTAAATAGTGTAATAACTAATTTAACCAAATTAAATTTATCTAAAACTACATTATCAAACATCTCTTCGAGTTCAAGAACATTTTCCACAAAAATATTTATAGAATTTATATCTCTGTTAGTAGTAGGAATTTTTGTACTAGCCATTTATGCATTTGTATACTTTTTAGCTAAAAACCTAGGTTATGTATTTAATAAATGTAAAACTATTTAAATAAATAATATAACTTACCTTTGAGTTTTTTTCTAATTTTAGGATATACATACATAAAAACAACATATTTTTTAAATTTTTTTATTATAATTTTATTACATTACATTTAAGCACATAATTTTGATTTTTTCCTCATATCCTCAGAAATGCTCATAGCAGCAAAAGCCTTACACAGTTCATACATGTCAAAGTCTTCTTTTAATGCTTGCATATCTTTACAAAATTTTATTTTTCTTTGAGCTAATTCTTTACAATCCATAATGATTATGGGGTAGATAACTTCGAAGCCAATTATGTAATACCAATGCGTGTGTTGTACTACATTTCTAAGCTTCTAAAATGGTTTAAACACATGAGGGGTTTGTTTTTATACACAGGCTGCTCCCAAACGTTTAATGTTTCAACGTTTATAATTTTTATATTTGGTAATAACTGCTCACAGACTGTTTTTAAATATTAATAATTTTGATTTCGTTTTGTCTAAACAGTATCGTATTCAGCCAATTATTCCATTAAAATGTTCTTAATCTTATTGAAATTCACATGAATATCCACTTGAATATCGTAAACCTAAAAATTTTCTTCAAAGCAAACTTGTTTTTTTTATTTTTTTATGATAACATCTTAAATTCCAACATTGGTTTTAAAAGATAATGATTTCTTTGCATTCCATTGGTAACCGTAACTTCTTTCGGATAAAATAACCATGTTTCGTTAGAAAATAAATTAAACCCCAGAATATTTATAGACACAACCTTCATTTTACATGGACTTATTTAAACTAAACAGTATTATGATGAACTAGGAACTATTTCACTGAGTGGAAGATGCTCCATAATGACGTCAAACAATATGCTTTTGTGTTATCGGGAAAGCCTTTTTCGCCTCAATATCAACTTTTATATCAACTGTACTCGATTTTAAGGATTCATTTCTTCTAGAATAATCAATTACAAAAAGGGCGCGGTTCATAAATTGTTTATAATCAAGTAGAGGGTGTTTTGATATTGTTAAATCATTTTTAAAACTTGAATAAAATTGTGTATAATTATGATGGCCTCATCAAAATTATTTTTTTCAAAATTGAGGTCCAATCGCTTTATGTGGTATTAAGTATTCGCCATTAAGGATAAGACGTATATCAGATATATCAATGTTGTCAAAATATGATGGAACTTTTGTATCAATACCTCTTCTATTGGTATGAAAAACAAAAATTATATAGCGTGGACTTTCCAATGCAGTGCACGTTTTAACTGCCCATATTTCCTTAGTAGCATATTTAGTTAATTGTCTGAATTTATTGATTCCAACAACTGAAGCTTTAATTAATCATTGGGTGTAATACTTTTAACGAGATATTTTCAACAGTTAATTTAGCATTTGTTGTGCCAGCAGCAGCCCCAGGTTTTCTGTTATAATTAGACAATCAGAGTAATTTCGAGTTCTTACAAGACGTATAGTTTATTTACCAAATTGGGCTAGCTGATAATCATTAAATTTACCAAATTAATGATGCAATGGTATACGTATATTAAAAGTTGAAATTTTGGCTATTGGTGAGGAGACTGTTGGTTGAGCGGGGTAATTCCACCCTGTAATTAAGATAGCCCTTTATTGTGCTCACAATACCTCGGTCGCGTATACCATCAATTTCTTTTTCATTTATTTCATAAGAAATTCGGTCAAACAAAAATGCACCAAAATTATTTGTTAGGGTTGCATCACCATCCCCTTTAGTTATTTCCAATTTACCATCTATTAATAGGGCTGCATCGTGCATGAGCAACCAGGAATCTCTTTGATTTATTGAAATTTCTATAACATCATTATTATTAAAAGATTAAACATATGGGTAATAAGTTCTGGAGTCATCTTTTTGAATTGTTTCACTAAACTGTGGTTTTTGATAGATGTCGAAGATTTGGTCTAACGATGACATTATATCCTAATGATCGTAGAAAGAGTCGATTTGAATGAGATAGGTTGTTTGAACTAGGCAAGCGTTTGCTGTCAACTGATTTTAAATTGTTTGTGCTGGGATTTTTATAATAATTGAATATTAAACCCATTATGATAATTTTTTTTAATTCCTAACGAACTATAACTTCCTCTCCACGAAAATTAACTGGCTTAAAATCTTGGTTTAAAATTACCAAAGTAATATTAGATATTTCCTGTTTATTTATTATTGGTAAATATATAAGGTTTCGGGGAATTTCGTTAATTGTATAGCCTGGATCAACGTCTACCTAAAATTCGTAAATGGTGTGTGTTGGTAGATAATTATAATAAGCACCTGTAGATATATTACAATCGATGTGAATGGTTCGAACTTTTATTATATTAACAGGAAGATCTGATTCGTGTTTTTTACCTGACTTTAAAGTACGCTTTGAAAATTCTAATACTTTCCATATACCCACCGCTTGTGAAAAATCCACTTCCAACTTGTCGCTTTGAATTTCGCACTTTAATTTATTATTATTTGGTTTAAGTGAAAAATATTTACCATAATCTTTCTTTTTAACGGTATCAGGAATAATTTGTTGTCTTAGATAAGTTTCTATGTCTAATATTTCATAAGTACCAGTTGGTATTATTATTTTCTTGAAGTCATTCGCTTCTTTATAATAAAATATATTTTCGCCTTCTTCAATATAAGGGATACTGTTATGGGAATAAAACCCTATTAAAGCTGAACCGTAGTCAATATCTGGATTAAGTTGTATTGGATTTGTAAAATCGATACTTAAAATATAATTATTACTTTTTAATGTTAATAGCTTGGACATTATTTTTAAAAGATGGCTAATAATAGACTAATTATATTTTCTTATCTCATTTATTTTCATAAAAAAAACACAAGCACAGATGTCCACAGTTAATTTGTTTAAAGTTTTGAAAACAATCATTTGTACCTTTTCTATACCGTGCTTAACCATTGTTTTATGATCAATCTAAATTTATTGATGTATTGCGAAATTACTCGGTGCTTAAACAGGAGTGCTGACCGTTATTGTTCAACTTTGAGTACACCAATATTCTTCAGTTTAATCTTTGTTAAATGCAGTATCGAGCCATATCGCCAATACATTAATTTGCGTAAATTTTAAAGTACAATGCCTGACCGCGTATTCCTTCGCTTCTTCATAGCCGACCAGGGTTTTTTCTCAGGCTCTTTTTTCCTGGCTTAACCCTCCTAAGAGCCACCCCTTGCTTGTTTGTAAACGTTAACTTAAATTAAATTGGGGTAAACTAAACCACTGTGTTTTATTTCTTATAAACATAGTTCTCTCACGTATCATTCTTAAAGCAATTCATTTAATAAAAAAAGTAAGTAAGTAAACACAACGTAGAGGTCCAAATTTGGGTTGCCAAAGCCACAAAATATTTAATTTATCCATTTTTTATAAAACTTGTTTTAAACGAACCTGGGGTAAAAAGAAATCTTTACATTTTTGGCGCAACCAGGATGCATTGCAAAAGAAAAAACGAGACGAGGAAGTCCGGTACTGTACTCTTTATGTAATTCTAATCCATTTGATATTTTTTCGGTAAAACTCATGAGGGAAAGCCAATGTAACAATTTAAGGAAAACCGACGAGGAAAGCAAAAGCAAAACCTTCAACAAAAGCTAAAGATATTCAAGAAGAGGGACAAAAGTTGATTGTCAAACAAAAAACTCCTTAGGGGCCTTTAAAGAATGGATCTGTACAGGAAAAAAAATAATACAATACAGCATCGAAAACTTAAGGTTCAACTTGGTGGAAAACAGAAAATGGGTGACCCAATTCAAATATAAAAATGAGATAAAATAATATTTCTTTCAGCGATTAATCTTTTTAAAGAATAAGGGCGAAATATACCGAGTGTTGTTTAAAATGTGGCCTAAACTCGGTTACCTTCCACGCAGTAAGCATGCAGATCCAGGGAGACAGCATTGACAGATCTGTCAACCCAAATCGCAACTCCCCCGTGTCGTTTCTGGCTTCTGAAGAAGTTGGCCAGGCACTTGTACCCTCCTAGATGGAGATAGTTATGTGAGTCTTTGCTGCACCAGGTTTCAACAAGACAAAAACATTTTACAGTTTGTGGAACTTCATTTAACAAGTAGTTACATTTATCTTGTGTAAGTCCTTGAATGTTTTGAAGAAAGATTTGGCCGCAGTCATCTGCATTGTATTTATAATTGGACTGGTAATTTGCACCTAGCTGAGCGGCTGGGGTTGTCTCCGCGGGTGGAAAAACCTTGCCACCCTGGTGTGTGCTGGCCAGGTCGAAGATTCCATGGCGTTTTCAAGTTGATCTTTTTTTATTGTAATTTTAAAAGAAGAGTAAATCCGGGGATTTCTGGAATTAAGCAATTCACAGGTCACTTCTGGAAACTTAGGACATAGGAAGTTTGTAAGTTGGTCCACTGTTGTGTCTGGGCATAGTTTGCTCATTGAATCAGCAGCTGTGCCTATAATTGGGACCGTTTTGGGTCGGCCATGAGACTTCCGATTGATTGTTTTCCAATCAGATGAGTCCTTAGTACTGTCACTGGTTTGTGGAACTATATCACCGTTGAGAGGTTTTTGTAGAAGGTTCGCTTTGTTGATAGCGTCGGCAACTACTTTTGGCGTAAATTTAATAGGTTGTTGGTTTGTTTTGTTTATTAGTCCGCCATTTTGGTGTTGGCGTTTGTCAATTGGTTGTTTTGTTTCGCTGCGTACTAAAGTATTTGCTTTTAGCGTAGCATCATTAATGCGGTTCGGCTTCTGACCGGTAGAAGGCGCAATAGGTATTTTCTTGTATTGTAATAATTGATCTGATAGCTGAAACTGAGCATTAAGCTTTTTTAGATACTTAATTTCTAGGTCCTTTGAATCCATGTTAGTTAGCACTGTTGAATCGTTTTCGTCGTTGCTTGTTGCACTTGCAAACGATATGTCAAGTTCCCGTTCACAGCAAATGATGGAATTTTCGTTTGTAAATTTCACATGGGTGAGTTTTTTTGCACAAGAGGGATGCATGGAGTTCCCACAGTTTATGCACACTACACCACCGGTAACTGGTATATTTTTGCATCTTTTACATGGATTTTTACACACAGCACTTTCAGACTTGTCATCACTCGGCGCCATCTTGCTTTCTTCAATAAGTGTCCAAGAGGCAAAATTGCATGGCTTATTATTTTGGCTCCATGAATTAAAACTATGAATTGTAGGTGACATAGGGTGCCAACCACAGACAAAATAGACTTGCCTTAGGGAGAAAATGATACGGCCGGGCGGGTGCCTGAACGGGTGCCTGTTTTCCAGTTCGCATCATTCATATTTGAGCAGTTGACCTGTGAGGATATATTATTTATGTAAAATTCTTTGAACATTATGGGTAAATGTGTTGTCAAAGTGTGTCCTAGTCGTAGTGAAACTAGTTCCAGCCAATTCCAACCAATTTCCTTTTTCCAGTAAGTAGTAATTACGAGATAAATTTTAAGCGATTTAATTAATTTTGCATGTCAATACCTTGCGTGCGCACACAGATGTTGTGTTGTTCTCTCCTTTGCACAGAGCCGTACGTCGTTCATTCTGGAGCGTAAAACTAGATGAATTTCTTTGATAATCCACTAGGAATATTTTAAATTAAATAGTGGAAATTTATTCCATTTGGAGTTATTTATTCTGACTTTTTAGCGAAATTGGTCTGTTTTGTTCAGTTTTTTATTTTAAAATTTTCAGAATTAAATATTTTTTTTTTAAGAGCTTAATTTGCCTTTTTTTGATTAGAGAATTTATAATTTATTCTATTTTTTTTATTTTTTTTAATAAGGATTACGTTAAAATTTGTTTAAATACATAATTTATTTAATTATTATTACGTTTTTTCGTGTTTAAAATCTCACGAATTTTTTTACCCTGAAAAAAGATCAATTAAAAAAAATATAGCAGATTAGCAGGTTTTTGGGCTCATTTTAGTAAAAAATCAACTTTGACGCATATGGCCCAGACTAAAATATGCACATAGATTTTTTATAAAAATCAGTCAACTTTACAAAATGAGTATGACAACTAAAATAGTGGTCTTTTATGGAATACGGAAAAAAGTTTTAAAAACTACCAAAAGGCAGGTGTTAAATAAACTGACTATTTTTAAAGGGGAATAATCATCACTGTAATGTTTTAAATAAATTAATAATTATTGTAGATATGTATTACTTTTTAATAAAAATTTGATTTATATCTAGTGTTTTAGTTAAACTATATATGTACTTACAAATATATAAATGTAAAACAAAATAAATTTAATACTTTTTAAAAAGATACCGCTCGTACGAAATTATTTAATACGGGCCTGGCAGAATACATATCTTCTCTTATACATTCCCTTGCCCCGCTTCCCCGATTTAAGGCACGCTGGTTTCATGTAAGCGATACTGAACAGGGCAAGTCTATTTTGTCTGTGGTGCCAACTATATAATTCAACATACAATTTTGCCGTGTCATGTGCGTATGTAGCAAACTTATCTGAATCTATATTATGTTCACTAGAAATAACTTCTAGGATTACCCGAAATCGTTTAATTAATTCCACATTAACTCCAGTAATTTGGGAAGATCTATTCGGGTCTGCAAAAAATCTCCGTGATGTATTTCCATCATTTGTGTTCCCAAATCCTGCTTTGGGAATGTCCACTAGTAACCCCATTTTTTCTCTGAATTTCGTTTGTATTTTTTCCTTTGTTTCTTTTACAATTTTTTTTTCATCTAGAGTTCGCGCCTGCCATTTTTTTAATTGAAGTTTATAAGCCAAATGCAATAAAGACTCAAAGAAGCGAATTCTCGCATGAAGAACAGATAATCCAAATTTCAACGCTTTGACATTTACGTCTTGTACCTCATTAAGTTTATTAAAAACTTTTGACGTCTGCCCACAAATATAACAGCGCATAGTGGAAACCGTGTCTGTGGCAGCATTACAAACCTTGCCATCAATCATTGTAAATAACATGGTATGTTTTATTTTAACGATTCCATCAGGTGTAGATATCTCTGTTTTTTTCAAGGTTTCCACTTGGTCTTCAATGTACTTAATTTCTTCTTTTGTGATATCCTTAGATTCTCTTACGAATCTTATCCGCACTGGTCTGCAATATCTCACAGAAGAGGGAACTGGGTTTTGCCATATGATTTTCACTTCTTTTTTATTTGTCACGATCAGTCGCAAAGGAACGAGGGTGCTCTGAAAAATGTTTGTGTCACTATCCTTGCTGTTTTTAAATTTTTGTTTAAACTGCGACTGTTGAGACCCATCACATCCCCATTTTAATATTAATTCCAAATTTTCCCTTTCTTCCTGTGTACAAGTTTCTATTACTTCAGCTAGGTATTTATATAGACGTGATGCTGTATGATTAAGTAGCTCTTGAAGTGGTATATCAATGCAGGATTCAGTGACACAAATTTTTTCCTTATTGGGGTAGCATTCTTTTTTAGCTTTTTGGATGAGGGAGTAGCAGGGATAAATATTCTTATTTGCACTGGTACTTCCCACTGTCTTCTACAAAAATTGCCAGTGCCTCTTGTGGCGTGTGTTTCTTTACCCTTACTTGCTTTTGAGCTAAAGATTTGCGGATTTGTGTAGCTCTTGTTGGGGATAAAGTAATTTTCTTTATCATTACTGATGCATCGGTATTTCCAACAGTGCGTTGACTAACACAAGCTGCATATACTAGTTCTTCAGCAGGTACTTTTTCCCTTAATTCCCTGGTTTTTCGTCGCTTACTGCGGTCACTTAATTCCATAAAGCATTTTGTTGGACGACCCGGTATTTTTAGTAAAAAATTGAACTTTTCTTCTATATTTTTATTTTTGCATTCTCGAATAATATCGTACAAAGCTTATCTCGTTAAATTTGTTACGGATTTTGAAGTGCCTAAAAACAAAATTAAATTATTGTAACCTAACCCAACCCAAAGAATATGAAAAGGGCGTACGAGGGCGCAAGATTTTTTTGTTTTATTTGACGAAGGAAATTCATTTTTACCGGCTTGTAAAAAAAGAAATGCTTGACAAGCTTTGACAAGTAAACAAAAACACAATTTTTTATGTACTTTTATACAAATAATTCGAATTTTTACACTTCATATTTGTGTATCTCTTATGTGCAATATTTAACTACGAATTAATAAAATACTAGGTTAAAACAATCTTCTTACCTTCCACTTTCATATTCATAGTGTTTTTTTTTTCAAAATTCAACACACAAAAGCACAATTTCAAATCTAATCTTGTAAATAAATACAAGCGCCAGAAACAAAGACGTTAGTTCAAACAATGACTGAGGTTTGACAGATGCTGCGGCAAGGGGTAAGGGCATAGGTGACTTTGATGATTACAATTAGATAAAATGGTTATTAAACTTTAAAACTAAAAGATTTTAGCAGGTTTATATCGGACTTACTATTTTCGACTTTTAACCGGTTTTTACATGTAAATACTCCTATGTGCGTCGGCTTTCGTCCGCGAACGTCGGCTTTCGTCCGCGAACGTCGGCTTTCGTCCGCGAACGTCGGCTTTCGTCCGCGAACGTCGGCTTTCGTCCGCGAACGTCGGCTTTCATCCGCGAACGTCGGCATCATCCGCGAACGTCGGCTTTCGTCCGCGAACGTCGGCTTTCGTCCGCGAACGTCGGCTTTCGTCCGAGAACGTCGGCTTTCGTCTGCGAACGTCGGCTTTCGTCTGTGAACGTCGGCTTTCGTCTGGGAACGTCGGCTTTCCTCTGCGAACGTCGGCTTTCGTCTGCGAACGTCTGCTTTCACCCGCAAATATCTGTTTTCATCTGCAAACGTCTGGTTTCATCCGTAAACGCCTACATTCGCCCGATTTCACCAGAGTTTGCCTGCATTTTGTTTTTTCTTTTTTTGTTCGATTTCATCCTCGAACGTCTGCTTTCACCCGCAAACGTCGTTTTTATCTGACAAAATCGCTATTTTACTTCGAATTTAGTAGGTTTATAGGTTTTGTCCACAGACCCATGGTTTTATCCGCCATAAATGCCCGCTCTTGTCTGTTTTCGTCTGTCTTGTTTTATTTGTATTTAGTCGCCCTTCCCATAACTTCTTAACATTAAAGGAATTAACTAAATTTAAAAAAATTTAAAGAAAATAAATTTATTGGATTTTGACATTGTTTCGCAAAACAGAAATTAAGTCTTCATTAAGAAATTAAACATTTTTTCATTATTACACAGGCAGGTAACTGTGCTATGTTTTTCTATCTCATTAGCTAAGGCACCTGCGCAGAAAAGCACGGTTGTCGTTTATTTTTACTTCTTAAAAACCGTAGCTCGGAGGCCGTTGAAGTTGGACACTCGAAATTTGCATCCTTTTTTGTGCCCACGAGACCTACCCGCGGACTGTCTTATTTGTCACTGTTATTCAAATAATCTATTTGTGGTTTAATACATTTATTAATCTTCAAAATATTACACACCAAATTGAAGGTTTTTTATATTCTGTCGTTATGTATTATGTTGCTAACAAACCTCTTTTATTCTAAATACCAACTTAACATATATCACTAAATATAACATCTTCCTTCTTAAAACCAGACATCCTATTCTTTTCAAAATTAATACAATTCATAATCCCTAAATCTAACAGGATTTCTAGTCGTTCTCCGGGTTCTATCACTATTTACATTGTTTTCAGTTTCCCTAACTAAAGGTATGTCTGCATTATGAACAATATCATAATCAGGTAAGTATTCGTCATTAAATTTGTTAAAGGACTTTCTTAGATGAGCGCTATTACGTCTTAACATTCCACCACTTTGATTCTTTACATAATATGATCTAGGAGTACCCGCTTTATTTACTATATGTGCAGGCTCCCATAACTTCTTCTTAAAATCAAAGTTAGTTAAATCCTCTCCAACAACAAAAGGCTGTCTATTTTTACAAGTTTTATCATAATAGCTCTTATCTAACATCCTTTTTTGTATTATTTGATTTTGTATTTCAACATTATTATAACTTTTCGGTAAAAGATCACTATCAACCATAGGCAATTTAGTCTTTAAATTTTTTGGTGTATTTCTATAATTAAGTAAAGCTAAACTTAAATCAGTAGATTTTCTTAAAA